TATTTGATTATGGTTTAAGCATGATGCATGAATTGGAAATTGGTGAGAGTTTTTGATAGTTACTACCACGTGGTAAGGCCTCCATTAATGCATGATGGTTGGCTCAGTACGTCCCCCAGAGTGAGGGATAGGCCTTTTGGCTCCCTACGTCCCCCAGAGTGAGGGATAGGCCTTTTATGGCTCCTTACGTCCCCCATAGTGAGGGATAGGCCGGGTTCGGCTGTTGAAAATCCCCTAAAGTGAGGGATATGGTTGATGGGAATTGCATCATTGCACTTGCATACTTGTTGTGGCTATCATTTATCATATTACTTGTGAACTGCCCCACTTGACACCTCACAAGTACCTATTTAGTAGTACTTTGAATTGGAAAGGTTGGTTACTGGGACATTTGTCTCACCCCGTGGTTTACAATGTTTTCAGGTGAAGGTTTCGGGTGTGTGCCATCGGGAAGAGACGCAGAGGCTTGAGCTTGGTTAGCTTTAGGCCTCTAGCCCTTGTATATGTATGGCTAGTATATATTGCCACAGTTAGGATCCCTTTTGAAATATTTTGATTACCCGGCCTTGTTGTACACTGGAGAGAATGTTATCTCCTTATTTTGGTTGGCCGGAAGCCTTTTCTAGTGCTTTGTGAAACTTTGATATACATGGTTGAAAACTAATTGGATGGGCTAATTTTGATGTCTGTTGTTACCCCGGCCGGAGGCTCGGAGGCCTAGTGAATGTTAATGAATGATTTCTCATGCAACAGAGTGTGGGTTTGACTCTTGTTTGAATGTTAATTTCTAAAAATATGCAAAGTTCTTTCTACTATGGTAGTTCCTTTTAACAGCTTTCCTTTTCTACCATAGTAATGATTTTATGACAAGTTTATAATGTTTTGAGGTACAGGGTTTTACAAATTGCTCTTACAGCTGCAATTTAAGCTTGTGTTAAAAACAGGCAAATATCGATAAGGCAATGAAATAAGTTATTCATCTAACCATGAAGTAGGCATCAAACAAGTGTCTTTTCACATTTCCTTCCTCTTTCATATCGGCCATCAAGGTCTTACATACAAGCGACATCAGCTGCGTGTTTATTTTCTGGATTCCACCTAGTGAAAGAGTTCTTCTCGAGTGAGTACCTCATCATGCATATCAACTATTGGCCCTAAAAAGGAACAAAAAATAATTCAGTCCTGGATATTATTTTGTTGTCAACTCATATAGGTGACAGGTGAAAACATAATGAAAAGTTGTCATTTTATAATAACTTAATGGTCACCCTGATCCCGTGGAGGCACTCTGGATATGATTTTAAAAAATTTGTCCTTGTCCTCCAAAGTCCTCTTTCTCTTATGCATTTCCTTCATCCAGATCCATGGAGATCTAACTGTTGGTTTAATCACCCTCTTTGATCTTCAGAGTTGTTGTCCCTCCTCCACTCCTTCCCCACTCACATCACAGATTGCTTGTCCTTCATTGGTAGCCTCATCATCACCACCTTCTCCTTCTCCTTCTCCTTCTTCTTCACCGGCAGATTTATCCTTGTCACCTTCTCCTCTTCCTTCTTCTTCACTGGTAGATTTATCATCCTTAACTTCTTCTATTCCATCATCTTCACTGCTACATTTATCATTGTCTCCCTCTTCTCCTCCTTCTTCTTGTACAGATTTACACTCTTCTCCTCCTTCTATGGGAGACTTATCATTATTCCCACCTACATTGTCCTTAAAATCTTTATCAATGTGAAAACTGTCATCACCTCTTCCAACTCCTTCTTCTTCCACCTCAATTGGCTCCTTACTTCCCTCTTGGACGCTTTTTTTATGTGCCTCTTTTGTTAGTTGAACCTTCAGCAACTCTTCCGCAATTACAGTGAGTAGTCTTTTATTGCTCTCATCAATAATAGTCACCAATCACCCATAAAGATTATTCAACTCCTGCAACAAATACCATCAAATTCAACATAATCCGCATACTAAACGACTAAAAACACTAGACAAAGTAACACATACCGGGTCTAGATAAGGAACTCCTACTCTGTCCTCTTGCCCCACTTTCATGTCTTTGTGTCCCTCCAAACAACAATCCTACGTTGCTCTTCCTCTCTATTTTAACAACTTCTTTAACTCTCCTCATTCTAATACTCAATAGCATTTGCAGCATCATACACATCATTTTTTTTTCAGCCTGAAGTGCTCGCAAAAATATATATGCAACATGAAATAAATAAAATTATACAAATATCAATTAAATCAAACATTGACAAATTACATTACATTACATACCAACAGCAAGTACACACAGCCACTCACATTAGAGCTACCACCACTTCTGAATGCTTTAACATAAGCCTTCGACTCTTTCGCTAAGTCCTTCATAATATATGTAGCCCAATCATAATGCTCAAACCCATTCATAGTGCAAGCCATCAGCTTCAGTAACCGGTCACTTACTTTATCCCTTGAATTTGGACATAGAAAGGTTCCAAGGGTGTACAACATAAACAAAAGCTCAAATTTATCATCATGTTGTCCAGATTTAATGTCATTTAATATCTTGGTAAATGACACTTTATAGTACTCCCTCTTCAATTGTTGATATGTTGGATTATTTTCATCTACTTTGGCCTTCACTACTTCCCCAGTGTTAGGGACATCAAGCAATATTTTAACATCTTCTTACTTGAATTCCTTTGAAATGCCCCTAATTCTGAATTCATGTGTTGCTGGATCATATGAACGAAGAAAAGTCACTAGTAGGTCACGTGGGAGTCTCTCACATGCTACATGCAGCAACTTTGAGAACCCTATCTTCTATTCTTCTCTACTCTCTCCCTCAAACTTGCATTATCATTTACAAAGTCTGCCAATGACCTGAATTAGGGCAGAGAGCACCGGGTTTGGAATGGAATTTTATTCTTCCTTGTTTTCTTCCTCTCAGGCCTTGATTCCCTAGCCTTGTCGTTATACCTCTTTTTTTCCTCCTCACACAGCTCTTTCTATGCGTTTGACATTTTCTTATTCTGTTCCTTAAAACGGTTTGACCTCTTTCCCCCTTAATTTCTCATAAAACTCCTTCGTAAACAACATGAATCTATTCTGTACTGATTTCGATGAATCTCCTTCCAAGACCATCTTCACTTTTCTGCATATAAACAGTTATTGATGCTCAACTGTTGTCATTCACTATACAGTCATTGTCAATCGCAATATAAACATTCAAAATATCATCTTCAACAGTCACTAGTACTCAAATGTTGTCATTCACTATGCAATAGTTGTCAATTGCTACACTTATGTAATAACTTCCACTTACAGATGTTGTCACCCTCACACACAAATTAGCCAAAAATGATCATGCAAAAAGTAATCACCAAAATATAACGTTTCCTCACCTCATTCAGTACAGTGAGGCTTAATCTTTAATTAACAATAAAATCATTCAAAAAATCATCTAAAACAGTCACTTGTACTCAAATATTGTCATTCACTGTGCATTCATTGTCACTTGCAATAAACCATTCAAAAATTCATCTTAAGCAGTCACTACTAGTCAAATGTTGTCACTCACTATGCATTCGTTGCCACTCGCAATAAAAACATTCAAAAATTCATCATGAGGAGTCACTACTACTCAAATGTTGTCATTCACTATGAATTTGTTGTCAATCGCAGTAATAACATTCAAAAAATTATCTTCAGCAGTCACTCATACTCAAATGTTGTCATTCACTATGCATTTATTGTCACTCACAATAAAACCATTCAAAAATTCATCTTCACCAATCACTAGTACTCAAATGTTATCATTCACTATGAAATCGTTGCCAATTCCTACACCTATTAACAAACTCCACTAACAGATGTTGTCACCATCAAACACCAATTACCCAAAAATGATCATGCAAAAACTATTGACAAAATAAATCGGTGCCTAGCCTCATTCGGTACACTGAGGCTTAATCTTTAATTAACAATAAGATCATTCAAACAATCATCTTAAGCAGTCACTCATGCTAAAATGTTGTCATTCACTATTCAGTTATTGTCAATCACTATACCTATGTAATAAATTCCACTAACAAATGTTTTCACCATCAAACACCAATTAGCCAAAATGATCATGCAAAAATTATTAACAAAATAAATTGTTCCCTCTCCTCATTCAGTATCGTGAGGCTTAATCTTTCTTTCATTAACAAACAAATCATTCAAAAATCATCTGAAATCAACTTACCTTCGTGTGATTGACCCATTAGTTCAGCCTAATAACCTTATTACTCTCTAAAATCTCTAATCTCTGATGTAATTGATTGTCCAATGACAACCACCGTGCAAATAAAATAAATAATCAACTTACCAGACCCTAGTAATGGTGACGATCTTCCCCTCACACCGACAGTACTCCTCCGACAGTGACTGCTCCACTCACAGCTACGATGTTCCCCTGAAGGCGATACCGCTTCCTCTCACCCTCACGATTGCCGATGACTGTTCCTCACAGGCATGATGTTCCTTCCCCTCACAGCAACTGGCGATTGTGGTGCAAAGATGTGGGCACAGGAAGTTTTACAACGGCACAGTGCAAATAACCTCTCCCGCATTCTGTCTTTTTTTTTTTTTCAAATTTTCTTCAGGGGCAATTCTGTCTTTGGCTAACATTTGCAAATGCCAGATCAGTACCCAGGTCTAATATGGTATTTTGCTTTTCACATGCACTTATCTGGGTTTTCATATATTTAAGAGTATTTTCCTGTCTTTTTCTCTAATTTTTTTTCCCAGAAACTATTCCCAGAATCATCATGATTTTTTGACGTGCAGAATCATATTTTATCCAAATACGCCGGTAGGAATTGGAAAGGGCAATTACCGCCATACATTTCGATTTTTTTTTTCAATGCATGAACTATGTCGAGTAGGAATTGGAAAGGGCAATTACCGCCATACATTTCGAGTTTTATTCTTTTCCCAATGGCGCTTTGGCGGGAAAGCTGAGAGCTGCGAAGTAACAGAGAAAAACTTCGTAATACAATCATATTCAGATTTTGACAGAGGAAAATGGAGGAAAGTAGCTCCGACAACGATTTGCTGAGGATCTTAGGAGCCATTAGATCCTCTGAGGCAAGCTTACTTTAGCTATTTACTTCATTCCGATAACTATTTCTTGTAAAACCTTGGATTTTCTAGAACCATGCGTTGGAATGCATCTGTTGTTTACCCCCTCTTTTGATCCAACTCTGAATTGCATGTTCTTGCCGTATAATGCTCCAACTGTGGCCTTAGTTGTTTCATTAATAGAAATCTTTATTTAGTCCCGTTGATTGTGGTTATGATGTTAGGGTTACAGTGGGTATATTATTATTATTATTATTATTTGGTTGGAAGTCTCAAGTTTCAGAGAAAACCATTGATATTGAGATTTTTATTGATAAGAAACCAAGAAACCTATCCTTTACTATGAATCCAGAAATTGATTATTGAAAGAAATGAGCTATGCGCAATGTTTAGCATTCTCGTTCTATGTATATTTGATATTGCTGTATATGTCCGAGTCTGAAGCTATTTTGTTTCCAGATTGCTACCCTTATGGTAATTTATGTCTTGGTTAGTGCTACGACAAAATATCCTGGTTTTAGCCAATATTGTGATATTTTACATTGGATTTCTTGTAAATCCTTCTAGCATTATTAGTTTTTGATTACATTTTTGTTTTTTTTGGGTGACACATGGACACAGATCGTTGAGAATCGAGTTCAGCTGTTTACCGAGCTTGGAAATTTAGATTTCAAGGATATATCCAACTTTACTTCACTTGTGGACTGCCTCATAGTATCCTTGACATTAGCGATCTTTTGCTCGCTGAAGATGGATGCTTACATCTGTCCATTGGAATTGATTTCTGTGATTTCCAACTGAACAATATTTATTGTGTAAGGTCTTTTCGAGTTCCCTTTTGAGAACCGCCATTGATACTTTTACACAAATATAATGTAAGGCTTGCCTAAACCCGTCGTAGACTTTGCGCTTGATCACTTGTAGTTTTTTCTGTTATTTGTGTCTCATGTGCTTGTTAAATTCTTATGTCCTGCCTCTTGTTCCTAATTTGAAATTTAAATGATATTGATTTAGAAAACATCTGAATGAATGCAGGCAACATGTAAGAACTAATGTTTGTTTTGACTAATAAAGCGTCTTAGCTTGGCTAAGAGTTAGAATCTTAAATTTAACATGATTTTGAACTAGCAGCTTCCAAGCCCTATTTTCTCCTCATGTTGTATGTATTAATGTGAATGACTTTTTCTGGCAAATCAAAATGCATAAATAATTTACAGTATTTTTAGTTTTAAAATTACATGGAATGATGATATTTTTAATCAGAGTAAAGAGTCTTCCTAGATGTGTGAGTTTTTTAAGTGTATCACCGGATGGAATTTGGTTATCCTAAGGTGTCCTTGAAATTAGGGGAGAAATATCCAAGTTCCAACTCATTGGATGAATAAATGTTTATGCTAGAATGCTGCAACAACTCAAAGTTCTAGTATATCTTCCTGAATTTAATGTCTTTATTGTTTTTCTAACCCGTTTTGTGATTTGATTCGAAATGATCACAAATTGCTTTAGTTTATATGATTTAGGAGATGGTTGATTGAAAACAAGGTCAGTGAATTAAAGGCAATGCTATAAGTGTAAAGTGTCATTTTATAAGCGAATCTGCTGGGCATTTCCTTTATTCTGCATTACTATGAAATGATGAAAGTTTGTATGTGTGTCTGTATATAATAAAAAATAAGTTTTGATATAAACATAATAACAGCAAATTGGATTGCAACTTTAATTATGATACCTTGCTTCACATTTAAGGAATTGAAGATTGAAGTAGTATTTGACCATTTTAGGTTAACAACATTAGCAGGTTACTGTTTTCCCTTTCAAATGCTCTGTAAAATTTGTTGGTAGAAATGCTTGTGCTTGGAGAGAATAAAGATCAAATTTATGGCAATACTGTGAAATCAAATCTCACATCATTTTTTATCCTTGTCAACCTTTGGTGACCTATATTTATTATTAGCATACTATTTCAATGCTATTTCAAATGTGTGCTTTTTGCTTCCACCTTAACTACAAGCTAGGCATTTTGGGAAGATTTTACTTGTTTGGATGTCACACAGTGCATGCTAAACAGAAGTATTATTCAATTGGCGTTGAAGTATGTTGAGTTTGACCTTCATAGCAGCAGCATATTGAAGATTCTCAACCTTGGAATTAAGGTACATAGGCTTTCATCTGTTCTTTGTATTTGATCTTTAATCCAGATCCATATGATCGCACGTGTCAATTTCTAGCTGTATGGTAAAATATTTCTTCGCAATGCATTCTTCTATCAGGCAAACGCTTGGTGCAGTAAGCATCTAAAAATGACTCTTTTGTCAAACCAAGAATCTCAGGAAGAGGAACATGTCTCTGTATTTTATCAGGTATGAGTTATATGTCACCAACTGAGGCATAATAAGTTTTCATGGTTTTAATTCGTTAAAATTTTCCTTATTTCTGCTGAGCACTCGACATGTTCCTTCCGTGTAGGGTATTTTTAGTCACAAATATGGAAATGAATGCGAGAATTTGAAACAGATAATATTGATGCATCATTAGCTCTTGAGTGTTGGGAAAGTGTACATGAACATGAATTAAATATCCTATCTTCAATTAATGCCATAATATGCCACAAGAATTTATTTCAATCATCATCAATGTTGGTAAGTGTTGAAAGTGGGCTCATTCTCATTAGGCCCAAACCGGAGATTTAATTCCAGTTGTTTTACTTAGCATCAGTTTTTATGTTTTATATTTATTTAAACCATTTTTTCCAGATCTGTTACGGATAGATTTAGGATTGATTTAGATAAGATTATATGCGAGATTGTCGCATCTTCCTCTCCTATATGTATCGACCTCGCTAGTTGAATAAAATCAAGTCTTTCTACGTTCGATTACCATCATGGTATCAGAGTGATGGGTCGGTCCTTCAGAGACGCAGTGATCGGATCATCACGAGCATTCACCACCGGTAGCGACGCTACCCAGAATCCGTCGAGGAGCGACACTACCCAGAATCCGTCGAGAGCTACAGTCGACTCCCACGCGATGGCCGAATCCGAAGGAAGCCGTCAAACTGGAGCGTCGTGTTCGACGGGAATTCCAGCTACTGACTCCTTCTCGCAGACGATGATTACTCACCGACTAAATGGAAAAAACTATTTACAATGGTCCAGGAATGTTCTGATGTTCATAAGAGGACGAAACAAGGAACATTACTTGACATGGGACCCGAAACCACCAGAACCAGAGGACCCAAAGTATGCAGCCTGGTGCGCCGAAAATAATCTGGTGATGACATGGTTGATTCATTCCATGAATACCGAGATTAGCGAAAATTATCTCCTGGCCAACTCTGCTCGAGAAATATGGGAATCGGCCAAGAATACCTTCTCTGCTAAAGATAACACAGCAGCACTCCTTCAAGTCAAACGAATGTTGCGGTCTCTCACGCAGGGGGAGAAGACGGTGACCCAATACTTCAGTGCACTAATGAAGCTATGGCAGCAACTCGACTTATATGAGGTATGTCATTGGGCGTGCCAATCTGATAGAATAAACTTCAAAAAAATAACAGAACAAGAACGATGCTTTGACTTTCTTCTCGGTCTCAACGACACATTTGAGGATGTAAGAGGACGCATAATGGGAATGCAACCACTCCCATCCCTTGAAGAAATCTTCAGTATGGTCAGATATGAGGAGAGCCGAAAAGAACTCATTCACATCACCTCTAGTGTTACCTCTCCTTTTCAGTCTCTTTCCCTTGCACCAGCGACAGAGGGATCGGCTATGGTCACACGAAGTAACCAGGGAGGAGACCAGAAGGGGAGGAAGCCATCCTTGAGATGTGATCATTGTAATAAGAATGGGCATACTCGGGAAATTCATGAAAAGCCAGCACACTTGAAGCAACGAAACAGGGGAGATAGTAAAAGTCTTACAGTGAATTCCGATAGTGGGAATCTGAGTGTTGATGAACTCATGTTGCTTAGACAGATTCTGGACAAGTACTCTGGTGAGAAAAATAATGAGAAATCTACCCCTTCTGTTACCTTAGCTCATTCAGGTACTCTTTTACTCGCTGCACTAAGCATTGTAACCGGGTCCAAAAATATATGGATTATTGATTCAGGCGCCACTGATCATATTACCGGGTTCCGGGAATTATTTTCTGAATTTAGACCATATTCTGAACATAGTCAAGTTCAAGTTGCTAACAATACATATGCTAAGGTTAAGGGATCAGGAACTGTTACTATTTCAGACACTATAGTTCTAAAAAATGTCCTTTATGTTCTAGAAATCCCTTGCAACTTGTTATCTGTAAATTGTGCAACCCATGAATTAAACTGTCTCATTATCTTTGATAAGCTTCACTGTGATTTTCAGGACTTAATCTTGGGGAGGATGATTGGCAAAGCTAAGGAACATAATGGGCTGTACTACCTTGAAGGAACTACAACTAAGAGATATGTGGCTGCAACTACTTCCCAAACCTCTAGTTTTTCTTCTAAAGAAGACTTTATGTTATGGCATTTTAGACTTGGACACCCAAGTATTGATTACATGAAATTGTTGTTTCCAAATTCTATGAATAAAAAGAATTTTCAGTTTTATTGCGAAACTTGTCAACTAGCCAAACAGACTCGTACCTCTTACCCATCCCATGCCTACACACCTACACAACCTTTTGCTCTCATTCATAGTGATGTTTGGGGTCCTTCTCGGTTTGCTACTACTTCTAAGGCCAGATGGTTTGTAACATTTATAGATGATCATACTCGCTTAACGTGGCTATTTTTGATGAAAGACAAATCTGAGGTATTCTCTATTTTTAAAAACTTTTATACCTTTGTCCAAAATCAATTCCAGGCTTCAATTAAGATTTTTCGGAGTGATAATGGAAAGGAATTTGTTAATTCTCACCTCACAACCTTTTTTACTGAAAAAGGCATTCTCCATCAAACGTCCTGTGCCAATACACCCCAACAAAATGGAGTAGCTGAACGCAAGAACCGACGTCTCCTAGAAGTAACTAGATCCTTGTTACTAAGTCAAAATGTACCAAACTTTTATTGGGGAGATGCTGTACTTACTGCTGCATATTTGATCAATCGTATGCCATCAAAAACCTTAAAATTTCAGACTCCAATTCAAAAGTTCTTGGCAACTTATCCTCACTCTTATCTCATTCATTCTCTTCCTCCACGAGTTTTTGGGTGTACAACATTTGTGTTTGATGGTGACAAAGGAAAACTTGAGTCTAGATCAATTAAATGTATATTTCTAGGGTACTCTCCCACTCAAAAGGGTTACAAGTGTTATTCTCCTATCACAAAGCGAGTATATATCACTATGAATGTTAAATTTTTTGAAAACCTGCCTTTCTATCCCAAATTACCCATTCAGGGGGAGAGAGGTAGTGAATGGCCAATCTGGATAAATCAACAAGCTGAACAGCAGAGTAGCAATCCTACTAATAACACCCAGACATCTCTAGATGACCAAACATCATTAGATGTCACCTTTCTTGATCCTGAAGTAACGGAACCACCCTCTTTAGCCACAGAAATCACACCCAACACACCAGAAACTACCTCTAACACACCAGAATTCCAACCCGAGACCACAACTAGATCTGCTTCTCCTCTCCCTAACCATACCGAGTCTTCTTTTGAGCCAGTAATAAGTGAGATACAGGGAACTCAGGAAGAACAGACAGCTACCGGAGAAGACCCCATTAATGTTCCAAGGCCAAGTCATGAATCCATATCCGAGGTTAATCCTGCAGATCTCCAATGGCCCATAGCTCTCAGAAAGGGAAAAAGGAGCTGTACGCGTACCCGATAAGTAGGTATGTTTCGTATGATAAACTCACTTCTCGATTTAAGACCTTTGTTGTCAATATAGACAGAGAAGAGATCCCAAGAACATTTAATGAGGCAATGGTTGACCATAATTGGAAATTGGCAATTGAGGAAGAACTAAGGGCCCTGATTAAAAATGGAACGTGGAATATTGTTGATTTGCCTCAAGGGAAAACTGTGGTAGGAAGTAAATGGGTATTTACTAAAAAGTATAATCCAGATGGAAGTACCAACAAGTACAAAGCAAGATTGGTAGCAAAAGGCTTCACCTAAACATATGGTATAGATTACCAAGAAACCTTTGCACCAGTAGCTAAATTCAACACTATCAATGTTTTGCTCTCATTAGCCGCAAACTCGGATTGGCCATTATATCAATTGGATATAAAAAATGCCTTTTTGAATGGCGACCTGGAAGAGGAAGTTTACATGGAAATACCCCTTGGGCTTAGAGAATCAAGAAATGAAGGGAAGGTATGTAGGCTACGCAAGTCTCTATATGGACTTAAACAATCACCAAGAGCGTGGTTTGGAAGGTTCATGAGGGTAGTCACTGGATTTGGCTACAAACAGTGCCAAATAGACCACACACTATTTTTCAAACGCATTGATCATAAAATAACTGTGTTAATTGTCTATGTGGATGACATTGTGTTAACAGGGAATGATGACAATGAAATCACAGCATTGAAGAGGAAATTAGCCTCAGAATTTGAAGTAAAGGATTTAGGCCACCTAAGGTACTTCCTGGGATTGGAGGTTGCCAGATCACAGAAAGGCATCAGCTTGTCTCAAAGGAAATACACGCTAGATCTTCTCAAGGAAACCGGGATGTTAGGAGCAAGACCAGCAGAAACTCCCATGGAACAGAATTGCAAACTAGAAATAAAGCCAGACGGAAAAACAGTGAACAAAGAGAGGTACCAGAAGTTGGTCGGAAAATTAATATATCTATCCCACATAAGGCCAGACATATCATTTGCAGTCGGGGTTGTAAGTCAATTTGCAAGCGATCCTCAAAAGGAACATATGGAGGCGATTGAGCGAATTCTCAGATATCTCAAGAGAACTCCAGGTAAGGGTCTCTTCTTCTCAAAGGGAGATCAGAAGGCAATTGAGATATATACCGATGCAAACAAGAGGGCACCTGATATAGAAGATAGTAGAAACATAGAGGTGTACACTGATGCTGACTGTGCTGGAGCAGTTAATGACAGACGCTCCACTACTGGTTACTGTACATTCGTCTGGGGAAACCTTGTTACTTGGAGAAGCAAGAAACAGCCGGTTGTGTCAAGGAGTTCAGCAGAATCAGAATTTAGAGCTTTAGCTCTAGGAATTTGTGAGGGGATATGGATTGTTAGCCTACTACGAGAATTAGGCATTGAAGTAAATACACCAGTTCAGATGTGGTGCGACAGCTTGGCAGCCCTAAAAATTGCAAACAATCCCGTTCAACATGATCGAATGAAGCATGTAGAAATTGACCGTCACTTCATCAAAGAAAAAATAGAAGCTAAAGTGGTTGATCTGGCTTACATCTCCTCAGGAAGACAAGTTGCAGACATGATGACCAAACCTTTGGTCAAGGCCAAGTTCGAAGAGCTCACAGACAAGCTGGGAATGATCAACATCTATTCGCCAGCTTGAGGGGGGTGTTGAAAGTGGGCTCATTCTCATTAGGCCCAAACCAGAGATTTAATTCCAGTTGTTTTACTTAGCATCAGTTTTTATGTTTTATATTTATTTAAACCATTTTTTCCAGATCTGTTACGGATAGATTTAGGATTGATTTAGATAAGATTATATGCGAGATTGTCGCATCTTCCTCTCCTATATGTATCGACCTTGCTAGTTGAATAAAATCAAGTCTTTCTACGTTCGATTACCATCAGTAAGTGTGGCAAGCAACTACTCAAGTGACCATAAAAAATGACATTTGAAATGTCAAGAGGGTAGAAAAGGAGACAAGACTTATCATGTCAACGAGTATTTACAAGAGAAGTACAACTAGACAAGGCTAGCATAGTAGTAAGCATTGCAAAATTCTAATCTCATGTCACCGAAAGAAAATATAATCTTAGACATAACACTCTTATTATACCTTGTTACAAATAAAACCCCATTAAAAACAAATCCAAACCTACAATCTCGTATTGCTGCACACCTGTACTAAATCATGATTCAGTAGTTTGTTGTCCAAAAAAAATCATGATTCAGTAGTTTGCTGTCCAAAAAAATCATGATTCAGTAGTTTGTTTTTTAATATCATCAAGTCAAGAACTTTAGCAGTTAGTGATCCCTTCAACAACATCTATGATTACATCTGCCAGAAGTTTTCAGCCGGCTTCCCATGAGTGACTCTCTTAGCATTTTTCCAGCCCCTTAGTCACTTGCACAGCTTGTTTACATAGCTCCTCAAAGTTTGCTACCTACTCTTAAGTAGTCCTTTCTATTTGTTGAGGTGGTGAAGCAGGCTGGAAAAGCCAACACTCTGGCAGGTTGGCATTTTGCCAACCCAAGCCTGCTTAAGGTGGTTTGAACCCCCCTCTTTTTTTTTTTTTTTTTTTTAATATTTCAAAATATTTTATTTTAATTTTTAAAATTAAGTCATAAACTTTTACAGACGAAATTCAATTTGTTTCTGTATTTTCATGAACCTACATAATTAAACTCTTCCCAGAACTTACAAATAAACATATAATCTATTTTATATAATTATGTTTTTTACCACCACTCTTTTACATAATTATTATATTAATATGAACATGATGAATCATTAGTGAATATTAGAAATCAAGCATACAACCAAGTTACTAACATAAAATAAGGCTATGTTTAAATTAAGTGCAAAATAATAAATTCTTTTTTATAAAATTTGAAAGAAAAATTTATTAAACAAAGCAGGCTAGCCCATCATGGCGGGAGCGAGTTGAAAAGGCCTGAATCAAAATGGGCTCCCGTTTTGCCAAGCTGAATTTGCCATTTATGGCAGTTTGGGCCTACACTCCATCAAAGCACAACGATTAGCACTAAAGTCATTAATTTACTTTTGTTTTTCTTCAAAATCAAGGTCCCAAATTACACACAAAACTGCACACTATTCATGTTTAAGGTCACTTGCTAAGAGAGCTGTTTGGCTTGCTATTATATGTCGATGTTGCTTTTAATCCTTTCATTTTTTATTCCTTACATGATTATTATTAATTAAGGTCTTTTATATTGCATCTCTGTTGCTATTCTTTTTGCTGCTGTTAGTATAACTTGTGTTTATTTATTTATTTATTTTTTTGTAAGCTTACCTCTTGGGATCTGATTAAATAAAATTGTTAGCACTTGATCCATATAAGAGGGTTCTTATAGTACGATAACATTATGACATAGGACAGTGGAAACTCTAATTATTCATTTGGTATTGGACATGGCTCTACGTTCAGGACACTAATTCTTAACTCATGTATTGCGTCATTTTCACTGGGGCCAGCGTTGCTGTCCTTTAATAATTATAGGCGATTAATTGGATGGTAACAATTACCTTCTTTTATTGTTCATCTGAGGGAAAAGGAAGAAAAATTACATCATTAGTTGTGTCATGTGTGCCTCCCACAAATGCAAATTGCAGAGATGGTATGACTTAGTTTCTTGAAGAAATGTAAAACAATGAGTGGTAGCTAGCTGTGGAATAGTAGCAAGCATAAAACTTGTCCACAGTTGCTTGTCTCATGCATTGTGATTTGTTTAGTGCAAGTGATTGGACCTCCAGTAACAAAACAAAAATGTGCATCATTCAGTTTTCATGTATTATTGAAAATTTCACTTGCTGATTGTCTTATTGACATCAATTTTTACTTGAGGTAGTTTATTTATATTGTGCAGCTGCTTCTGGAGGCTATGAGGTTTTCTGCATCAACTTTCTTGGCCTTGATGAAATTTCCAGTATTTGATGACAGGGTATTGATGGATGCTGTTGCCAACTTCGTTTTGGAAGCTTTAAGTTTAGCAAAAGCTTCCATATCAGATGTTAAGGTAAGATAGTTTTCTCTGTATATATATCTAGTGACACAGAACACGTCAAATGTCTGAATAGTTTCTTATAAATCAAATAGAATGAGTAGAAGGTATTTAAATGTATGAAATTCTGAATAATCTGAACTCTCACCACTTTATGCTACATTTATAGACCATACAACCCTTGCTAAGTGAATTAAGCGACTAGAACTAACAGCCTCAACTATTATTCTCATATCATTATTTCCTTGACTGATTAAGAAATTCAGAGATGGGGGCATTTTACTGAGAAGATAACTGATATAGATGTGGGAAAGTTTTAGAGAAAGTGTCTCCAATCCAAGCCCTCTCAAAACCGAAATGCAGTGCTATCTCCAACTCGAAAAGACAATATAGATGATAAAGAAGGCTATCCATGATTTAAGCATGGAAGTGTTTTTCTGTCAAAAGCAAAATCCACGATTTAAGTATGGAAGTGTTTTTTATTCCCAGGTTTATACTGATTAAATTATGAAATCATAGACTATAGATTTAGTTTTAGGTTCATGCAGTCATAACAAAGCAATGGATTTTCTTCAAATCGCTCAACTTTAAATTGAGTGTCTAAAAGTGAAACATGAACATAAACTGAATGTCAGAGCTTTATTTATATTTTTATTGATGATATCAAGAGTTTTATTAAATAAAGAAAAAAAGATGTTGCATAGGAAATCAGATGTTTCAACCTTTAAGATGCTAGAAATTAATCCCTGCTTATTTAGCAAATGGAGTGAGCTATTCATTCCATCATAATAGTGACCATTTCTTATTGATATCTTTCTTTTTTGTTTTTAAAGGCTAATAAATTTTTCTTGTAGATTTTTGTGTTAAAGAAGATATAGTTGATTATTTAGTTATGATTTTGTTATGACCTTGTAAAATTTTGTCCAAAGTTCTCACTGATCGGAGAGAAAAAGAAATTCTCTTGTAAATCATCAGATAGAAATTGGCTGTCTAATGTTCACTCAGGGAATAGTGAGTATTGAGGGAAATCCGTTCTTCTGTTTAATCTTATTCATATTTGTCCCACGATCTAGCATCTATTGTTAAGGATATTTTACTGTCTGTTCCTAAGCAGAAACTTCAATCGTTTGGATCAGAAATATTGAAGGTTGCACACATGATGATTGATGCTGTCATAAAACTATGCAAGGCACTTTCTGAATCAGTAAACTCGGATACCTATGATGTAAAGCTATTGAACCTTGACAAGGATAATAACAAAATGGTCCATGTTATCAACATAACAAGATGTGCAATAGAAAAGTTATCTCAGATTGGTGTCCTTGCTGCTAATGATGGGGGCAATTCAGTTAACATTCTTAATGTGACATGGAAAGGTGTAGTCTCTTTGCTTCAAATTGGTCATAAATATTTAGCAGAAATAGTAAGCATAGCAAATGTACTGGTAGGTTTAATTGCGTTGGTAACTGAGCCTCTGAAATGCGCGGCTGTGGCTTGGTCTTCACCCAAGGATACTGTTTCTAAAACTGAAGCTAAAAGGATTCTGGTGCCAGTGAAATTTTATCTAATTAACGCAGTAAAAATCGCCTCACTGTATCCTCATCAAGCCTATGCAGTATACAGAGACATTATGCTCTGCGTCATCAAGATCACAACTTTAAAGATTGCAACGAGCAATGAAATCTTTCTGGAAAGTGTATGTACAGTGACTACTGAACTTTTGGAGCAAACAAGCATGGATCTGGCAATGTCTTTGCTAAATTCTGATGAACTGAAATTTGAACAGAAGTCTGAAGTACTGGAGTGGTTGTTCACTAATGAAGGGGATTCTTATTCTACTGTTGATGCTCCGACCTTAGCTAATTGTAGCTTAACATCTACGAATGAGATCTTTGACCTTAGATGTGAAGATATGAACAGAGAAAGAATACTAATGACAGCTCGAGTTGCTTTGTTTATTAATTTCCTGAGATGTTCTCTAGAATTTGATGAAGGCCTAAAATTAGGACTTGCACGCAAACTTCAACGGTTTCTTGATATTTTAGTTGAAGAAGATGTATATTCTAACGTACTGTTTTTAAAACTCCCTTTATTGCGTGGGTCTGGGAATACAATCCAGCTGGTTTGGCAACCGCTGTTTACTTCTCTCTTGCATGCAGTCAAAACCTTCATGATTGTGGTATCTTCAACCGCTGCTTGGGGGGACATGGAGTCATTTTTACTTGAGAATTTCTTTCATCCTCACTCTCTTTGCTGGGAGATAGTGATGGAATGCTGGTGCTTTATGCTGCGACATGCAGAAACAGACTTGGCATATAGCATGATTAGCAAACTGTGTTCGTTACTTAAGCTTCTGGCATCCTCAGAATCTGTTGCCCTTCCTAATTCTTCATTCCGAATATTGGCAAGATCAATATGCTTTTTGCTAACGTATGGTGCAAAACCAATGGTTAATCAGGTCTATATGTCACTTGTTGAAGATGCCACAACTCATTTGTCGTCAATTTTATGTTTGGCCCTGTTCATTGAAGGTTTTCCATTGGATTCATTATCAGATAAGTTGAGAAATACTGCCATTCAAAGAGTCATATCAGACTATTTCGAGTTCATAGACAGCTTTGATGAAGCATCATTGAAGACAAGCATTTCTGGTCGATGTGGCATTCCAGTCTCTATTCTATCTGCTTCTTTGCAATCATTGTAAGTACTTTGTTTTGAGGATATTTTTTCCACTGTGATTTACTGATTTTGGCTAAAATTACTGGCTTACCATATCTGCTATCAATTTGTGTTGACCGTTTCATTAATGGTATTTTCATAGGACATAATTAGGGGTTGTTCAAAATTTAACTGAATCAATGTAACCAAACCGACCAAAACTTGCAAAGAATTAAGTGTGATTGATTTTTAGCCTTTGGAAACTGATTCAATCAATGTGGTTATTGGTTTGGTACACCCTGGGGAATAATTTTTTTATAATTAATTTTTCTCTGGCCTAATCCATTGCCAAGCTTCGGTCCAATCTTGTTCAAAAACTTTTTTAATTTAGTTATATGCTTTGGGAATAAAATTTAAAATTTTTTCTTCGGTAAAATTATATTTTGCAGAACACAATAATTCCATCAGTAACTATTTTTATTTTAAAAAGTGAATATACATTCAAATTTACTCTGCCTACAAATATTTTCACAAAAATTACATTGAGCATTTCTGAAAGCAATCCAAACTTAGCCAAACTCATCAAAAATCAAACCAATTTGATTTCTAGACTGTAGAATTAGGTTAGCTATGTCCTTAAACCAGTTGGTATGGTTTAGTTTTGTTTTAATCCAATCAAACCCAAACGAACCTATGAATACCCATAAGACACAGATGGACACAAGACTCCTGTTTAGTGTTGACAGAATTTTATTCAATGCACGTTTGTGAAAAGCGTTGAATATTGCATAGCAAAATTAGCGTTCTGAATTTTGAGCTCCCATGATTTATTCGATCTGATTTGAATATTTTACCAACGGAATTAATTTCTCTAATTTTTTTTTGTTTTTTGCAAATTAATGAACAAAACTTAATCCATGTCAGGGCTAACTATTCTTATCTTTTTCCTGCAGCCAGACCTCTATACCTTATATTGATCCAAGGACCTTGAAGCTTTTGGTGTCAGTTACTCGTAATTTTAAAGGTTCTGAGGACAAAGTAATTAAGGACCATTGTCTTGCCCTTTTGGGTGAACTCCTGCAGATGATCTCAAATTTGGGACATCTGTACTCATCAAATGGTATTGAAGAAGCCATCTTGGAGATTGAAAATACCTTTGTCTCCGGGCCAACAGCATCTGATGGCTGCTTGCACAAATGCAAACCACATTTGGCTCAATTCATGGCAGGACTAATACACACAGAATTATCAGAGATTGATGATGATGATTCAAAGAACTGTGCTGTTCTGAACCTGTTTCACATGCTTTTGAAAGAGAAGCACTGGGCCTTCATTCATTTGGCATTAACAGCATTCGGATATTTCGCCATGCATACCAAGTACAACAAGCTATGGAGATTCGTTCCACCCGATGCAGCCCTTTCATATGATCTAGTTTCAGGAGCAGAATCAGACCAAGATAGATTTACCGAGGAGATCAAGGCATTTCTTAACAAGGAAATGGCTCTTCTCTCAACTGCACCAAACACTGAACAACTTGAGCTGCTTGCAAGAGATGGCCGGGTTCTGAAGCAAATGGTCCATAAAATACCCAACATAGCTGAAGCAGAAGTAAAATGTGTGAGCATGGAAGTTGATGATGATCATAATAACTGTTCCAATAAGAAAAGGAAACTTCGTGATGGGATTATCAAAGGTGTGGAATTGCTTAAGAGTGGTTTGAAGATTATTGGGGATGGTCTTTCCCAGTGGGATCAGAATCAGTTTGGGAACAATGAACTTCATGTCAAGTTCTTGACTCAGTTTTCTCAACTGGAGAATGTAGTTACTCACTTTGGGGAATTGGCTGGCAACAGAGAGTTATGTTCATCCCTTGGTTCAGAGCACTTCTCCTAAAGCTGATTAGCCAATGTTTCAGTTGTATAAAAATCTCAATAGGCATCCTTACCAGTAAAATTCCGTCTCCTTTTTACTTTTACCCTTACATATTTTATCTTCATTTTTCAAAATCTTCTGTGTTTGTGTGTGTGTTTTCAAATGTGAACGTAAATACAAGATCTGGTCGTTGGCAATGTTTTTGGACAGTACTCCTGCTTAGTGTGAACTGTGAAGACCCGTGCCAGTACTCCTGCCTACTGTGAACTGTGAAGACCCCTGAGATCCGCGCACACATTTTTCAAAATCTCGCCTGTGTTTGACTGTGCTTTTCAAACGTGAGTGTACGTACAAGAACCGGTAATTAGCCTTTTTTTTTATACTAACACCAGTTCTTAATATAAGAGCTTGATAATTAATTTTAAAAAAATTAAAAAAATTAGTTAAGTTGATTATTTGTAATAAATGCATGTTGATTTTTTTAGATTATTTTTTTTTAATCATGTTTGTATTGAAAGTTGGAACCATATCTTGGTGAGAATTTCTCACAATGAGTAGGGATATTTTGAGGAAAAGGTGAAATAAAGTAACTTGATATCTTATATTTGGGAGTAAATTTAATTCTCAATTAATCTTTATATTAAGTACCGAAAGTAGTACTAAATTAGCATGCTTTTAAAAATGAAATCCTTGAAAAAAAAGTGTGGGTCTCAATTCACTTTATTTATCATTTCCCTCAAAATTAGCCTACCCAACACAGTGCCTTAGTTATTAAAGTCCACTAATCAAAAGTTATATTAAAACAATCTAGATTTTAATCATTCTAATGTGTTCCGTCACTTCAATTACCGAATTACTACGCTGGTCAAGGTCAAAGAAAAAGTACCAAATTATGGCAGAGGCAGATGCTTAGAAGGCTACTTGAGGTTATGAGAATTCGCTAGTACGAATTATGGGCCAAGGAAACAGAATGTACTAGTAAATTTATTTCATCTTGCTATAGTCTAAAATAATCATTTTAAGTTTCCATAATAGACATAATTCAACAATTGGTATTTGAAATGAAAATATTGCATGGCAAAAATATTGCTATTGTTCATTTTGATTATTTTATCTATTTCAGAAAAAATTAATTTGTTAGTCCATATAATTTTTCTTAGCTTTTTCTTTTCATTTGTTTATAGTTTTCTCAACTACGGACGTTCCTTATAATTCATGATAGGCTAATTATGCTTGATGGGGATTTTTTTTTCGACCAACGATGTAGATGCTACCAAGTGATGTGTAAATTGCCACAAAATATAAAATGAAAGGGAGGTTATTCTTTAAAAAAAAAGTTCATTTATTTTCAACATAAAAAAAATATAATACTCATAATCATCCCTTTACATGTATATATAATCTGTAGTTTGATTGGTTTTGATTTGATTTTAATTTATGTGGCAAAATCAATATCGGATGTATGCTAAGTGAGAGCCATATTAGTTTTTCTTATAAATTAACAAATTATAAGTGTAGAGATCAATACCTATAATTAAAAAAACTATTAAAACTCGATAAAAAAGAATACAAGAACTTAATTGAGAATGAGGTGAAATAATAAAAAATTGCATATTACTTTGCCAAAATCATAAACTAGTCGTATGTTGTTGAATAGAAATAAAAAATGTCGATCTTTCATAATTTGTCATCGCTTCATTATTTTCAAATGGTCTCATTCAAGGACGTAAAATATTATAATGTGATAAGAGAATCCATTAAAAGATATCTTCTAATCTAATTCCAATTAGGAATTTGTTAGAAAAATGAAAAATGGAAAATAATGCGGAAACTTTGTGGAGTCAGTGTTTCCTCTTTCCATTGATTTTGCCTAATATCAATTTTCCGCCATTTTCTTCTCCTTTTAAGATTCCAGCGATGTATAGGAAAACAATGAGAAACGTTACTTCAATTTCTCTTCGTCTTCTCAATCCACGTCTGGCAATTCATGAGCACAACAAGAATTTTGTTATAGGATTCACATTGGTAATTAATTTTGCTTCCCCCCTTTTTTAATCAATGAATCATTGCACATTCCCTTCTGAGTTCTTCTTTGTTTTTTCACATCAAAATCCATTTTGAGATATTAAATTCTAGGTAAGGATTGAAAATATATTATGGTCTTCAATGTTTCATATTGATTATTCTACGTTTTTTTCTTCTGTAATTCAATAGGAATAATTTCTGATGCATTTAGGAATGGAGAAATATTTCAATCTGTACTGAGAATTGAAAAAAAAAAAATCCTTGTATTATGAGATATGAACTTAGGATTTCAAGTTTTTTCTCAATATTTCTGCCTAGTACTGCAGTTATGGGTGATCTTATTTGTTCTTACATTGAGGATGCAATAATTGTAAGAAAATGGAAAGAAATACTATCAAGATTAATTGAAGAACGGTGACAAGAAGAATTGACCATTTTGAGAAATTTAAATTGCCTTTTGAAATTCGTACAAAAAAATTCCTTTCATCAATAGTATTTTATGGGCGGTATTAATTATGAAAATGTTGGTGATATTAACAATTAAGAAAAGAGGTCTCCATAGGATTGAAGACTCATAAAATAAACGAGTTCACAACATAATGTTCTCCAGGTATAAATGTGATGTTCAACCATTGAAATTCGTGTCTCATCTTGTATTTGTATTTGTTTGAGTAAATTTACAAGTAATTTGGTCTTTAAATATCTCTCAGGTCTTAAATGATTAAAAAAATTACTTAAATTAATTATTTGTAAGAAATGCGTGTTGATTTTCCTAAAGCATTCATTTTAATCATTTACATAAAAAACTCTTCCTTTGATGGAAGTCCCTCTTATTATAGAGCAATTAATAGACAGAGTTTAGGGGAAATAAATTACAAATTTGGGGGATAAATGTTTAAGATTTTATATTTAGAACCAAAGTAAACCTCTCTAGTCTCTACTAGCTCTTATATTTATAACTATTATTAGGTCCATACTAGTTATTAGTTTTAATCTTGAGAATGAATGAATAAACATGTTAGTCCTCAAAAATAACAAATCTGTCACAAATTAAATCATTTGGGCAATCTCTAAACCACTTGAGAAGAGACTAATTTGCAACAATTCTGTCGTAACAATGACTAACTCTTGAACTGAACCAGTTTTTGTAGTTGAATCTGGGGAACCATGGGAAAAAGAGTCGTGATAAGAGACCTGATGTGGCAGAGGAGAATAATAGTAGTGGTGCTAGCACCAGTGCCAGTGCCAGTACTAGTCATCATGGAAGAACTTGGAGCATTCTTAACATTATGAAGTATCATCATTGGCCTCATAACGTCAAGAAAAGGCTCACACACAAGAAGAATGCTGCTGGAAAAAATCCTGATGGTAATTGTACTCTGGACTCTTCAAATGATATGTTTCTAGCTGTTACAGATTGTTTTTGTCATTTCGATATAGGCATCATAATATCCGGAGGGTGGATTATAGAGTTTTAAATTGTTGGTGTGGTCGTATTTGTGATTATTAAGGCTGTGTTATGAGTCCTACATCGAGGAGTCTTATAACTAAAGTGTCATTTTTTTTTTTTGGTGAAAGAATTGGACTCTCCTTGTAGACTTGTACTTGTAACAGGCTGGGCGTGTTGTAAATGCAATGACATGAATTTTCATCATGGATGTGGTTTGCAATTCAGATTCTTCGCAGTCTTGGGAATACTGTATATATTTTGTCTATAATGTGACTCTCTCTCTCTCTCTCTCAAAATATATGACAGTAGAAGATTGAATTTAGTATATAATGTGGTTGCAATAATTGCCGTAACTTTTATGCTTTAGTAAACCCACTAATTCTTCTATCTTTGGTTTTTAAGCCCTCATTTGTACATATCCTGTTAGAATAAACTACCAAAAAACGAACGCAAGTTTGAAAGTAGTGTTTTATTCTCATTAGGTATACATCTGTAAATTTCTGTCTTGCTTGTTACATGCAATTCAAATTCACAGGCTCTTTTTCACATTGTAATAGTTGATGGTCCAGGTGGAGCTGATAATTTGCAGGACTATGAACCGAACTCAAATTTATATGAAGAAATGGCCGTACAGTCCACTTCACCAGCCAAACATTCTGTGAAAGCCAGACTAAAAGCACTTCTTAGTGATGAGATAGCCAGAAAGAAGGGTCAGCATAAAAGAAGTTCAACCTACCCTGCAAAGCCAAGACCACCAATCAAAGCAGTTTCTATTCCCAGTTTAGATCACTCAGATGTTAATCTCGTCTCTGAATCGGTTCCAACAGAAAATAATCCTAAAATGGCTCCACATACTACTGAGACGTTGGAGAATTTGCCATTAGCATGCTCAACAGCCAATAAGGAGATCTGTGTAGAGTGTGGGACCATGTTTTCTAGTGGTTCAATGGAGCATAATAGTATGGTTCATAAACATCAGAAACCGCCATCAGAATATCACAAAGCATTGATGAAGGAAACACTGAGTTGTGAAGAGAAGTCCATGCATGCCAAGTTACTCACAACTGACGTGTCACCTTATCTATTTAAGGATTTCTTGGATGCTCTTGATATGATAAATTCAAATAAGAATTTGCTGTTAAAATTTCTGCAGCATCAACATTCTCCTTTGGCATGCCATTTTCCCAACCAACAGGAATCAGCAAGAAAGATAAGACTAAATAAGTCTATTTCATTTCCTGTACCTGGCTCGTCGTCATCATCATCCCAATTTAAAAGACAAAACACAAACAAATGGCAGATGAAATGCTCAAATCAAGAGAGGTACAAAATGATGGTCAAACACAAAAGGTAATATCTCCGTCTGAATCTTCAGAAAAAAGTGACCAGCAGCAGCCTGTTTCGTTGGACTCTACTTATTATGCATCATTACCACCCCGGGTTCGAAATCCTAGGGCTATTAAGCGTTTCAAGGATCTTAGACAGAAGGTGAAACATGTTCTTGAAGAGAGCAAAAATGAGAAACGCCGCATAGCCATGGATGCTGTGTATGACAAAATTCCTCATGGAAATAAAGTTCCCATAGAATTGAAGAGGAAGATTCCCAAAGTTCCCATAGATACTATTTCACCAAGTGAATTTGGCAATTTTAAAAAACGTCAGATATCTCCAATGAGGACTGCATCTTTGAATGAATCAGTTTGGAAATATTCTCAGCTTTACGAGACTTGTTTTAACAAAGGAACTAGGTACCCTAAGTCTGAGAGGTTAAAGGCGAAAATGGAGGAGAAAAATCCAATATTAAGGACCCCAAAATCCTTTCAAAGGTTTCTTTCACTGCCTAATCTTAAAGATTACTTTTCTCAAAATGAGGAGCCTTCTTCTGTTTTACCTCCCCAGATTCCAATTAGGAAATTTGGAGAGAGAACCGCTAGCCCAAGCACTAGTGTAGATAACATTACAACTCCAGAAAGTGTTTTAAAAGTGTCCAAAGAGGAATAGCCATCAGAAGTGATACAGGGTTGGCATCAGATGAGGACAAGGAGTCAAATCAAAATGAAAGTGTAGGAATTGATGATTATTTCGGAAAAGTAACAGACAGTGAGATGAATGAATCAACTTCTATTGTCGCTGAAACAAATCAATCTCCTTCTCTGGCTCCAGCTTCCTAGATGATTCAGTTAGCTCTGATGAGAGGCTATCTTTACCAGAAGGTATATGTTGTCTTTTGATAATCATGGATTGCATTTTCGTCTTTCCTGACTTATAAAATCTTGGTGTCTATTTGCTTGTTTAACAGTATAAATAGGTTGAATTCTATTCAAGAAAATGACCAGAGTGCTAAAGAAAATTAAGAAAAAATTGATTAAACTATATTACTGTACCAGAACATAGGAACAAAGGGAAATAATCTTGATTTGGGAAACAGTAATTCTTTAATTACGACCTAAAAACTTTCAAACATGGAGCTCTTTGTGTCAGATCGTGTCAAATGTTGCTTTAACACAATGCTTGGATTTGAAAAATGATATCATGATTTACCGTGAAGTTGATTGTTCAAATTTCGAGGGTAAAGTATGCACAAAGTTTTCGCTTCGAAACTTTCAATCTGAACGCAGCCATGTTGTAGTCCTATTCATATTCCCGTATTGGTTTATAAATAATTTATGGTTGATGATATTAATCATGAACCAAACAGTAAGCACTAAAAAGAACGGATTATTTTTCGAGTTTGATTGCTTGAAATATTAATTTATTTGTTAGTTAGTTAGCGACTTTTAATAAGATAAATTCGGATTTCGTGATTAATAATGGTAAGCAGTATATGTTAAACACAGTTTTGCTTGAGTTTTGGTATTAATATTAGTTTCCTACTTCACCATCTGGTTACGGTTGAATGGAACAGAATCACAAATAAAGCCATGGCCAACTGATGGATTGGATCATCTGGCAGAGCAACTTCAAGAGCTTGACATTGCAGACTATCATGAATTAGTGAGTAGTGAAAATGATTTTCAGAAATTTAGCACTTTGAACAAGCATTTGGACTTGGGGATTCCTAGCCTTGGAGTGGACACAGATAGTGTGGCTGAATTAACTATGTGAAAGATGTATTAGAGCTATCTGGGTTATCCACAAGTCATGAATACCTTAGCACATGGTTTTCCAACGAGCAACCAGTTGATCCTACAGTGTATGATGAATTAGAAGGGTGCTTACTATTTGATCCTCAAAGTGCTCGTAACGAAGAAACCAGGGCTCATTGCAACCATTTGATTTTGTTTGATTTAATCAATGAGGTATTGATTGAGATTTTTGGGAGATCATACAGTTATTACCCAAAGTCGTTATCTTCTCTCTGTCATGTTTACCCAATACCAGTAGGAGACCAAGTTCTAGGACAAGTGTGGACACTTATTAAGTGGTATCTGAACTTGAATTCAGAGTTTTATCCATCTTTGGATTACTATGTTAGCAGAGACTTGGCAAGAAGTGATGGGTGGATGAATCTCCAGTTTGATTCTGAATGCGTGGGGCTTGAGTTAGATGACCTTATTTTCGATGATCTTTTGGATGAGATCATCTGCACTTGAGGTTATATTTGTATGCATGACCTTTCATATACTACAAGGAGATAGTTTATGTACATCTTATTTTGATTTTTGATGTAATGATTTGTGTATACATACTACAAGGAGATAGTTATGTACATCTTATTTGATTTTTGATGTAATGATTTGGTGTATATAGCCTATAGCAATATTACAGTGCTGATTGGGTCAAATGAAATTTTTAAACAAAGTATCAAGTTTGGTGCCACTCTTGAGAGAACTACCCTATGACAATAACTAAATTTGGATAAGTAGGAAAAATATTTTTGCGTTTCATTTTCAAAAGATCTCAATCTACTTTGTCTTTTAAATTTGTAACTTTTTTAAACTCTTTTTTAAAACTCTTCGTATTGGTTGCACACATTAAAAGGGTCTTGCATAAGAGTAGTTTTCAATGCAAATAATTAGAAAGAGTGCTTTAGGGAAACCAACACATATCTTTTATAAACAACTAACTTAAACTCCAATTTTCTTAATCTCTACAAATTGGGTCTGAAAAGGCCTTTGGGAAATCCCTCACATTATAATTAGCAAATTGAACTGACAGGTTGGTGATGGTCATCAAATTGCCCTCAACCGCCCTCTATGTGGCAGCCCATGCAACAAAATTTAGCCCCTCATATGAATATCAATCCAGCAGTTAAGCTCTTACTGCATACTTCTTTCAACTGTAATCTAGTTCAATGGAATAAACCTTACCAACTTTATGTTTATAGTTTTGCTTTCGAACCCTAGTATCCTTACCTTACTTAACTCTCAAGATCAGTTTATTTGCAATGGCAATCCTCCAAGATCTTACTACAAAAACTAGTTTCATTTTCCCCCAAACTATGACAAGCATTTGCTCTTCAATTGGAAACTGTTGAACCAGGCAGTTCCATCAAATGATATCTTTAGGTAGTGTATGTGGATTCTGTACTTTTGGATTTGATTAGGAGGAATCATTAGAACACATCTTCATTGCACGTCCTTTTTACTAGGTCCATTTGGATTGGATCTCTTTACTATTAAGATGCCCGACTCCAGCTTCAATGATTTTGTGAGCCAGTTTAAAAGTACTACTGCTTGCTTTAGCTTCATAATGATGGGGAAGAGAACTTGGTGCATGGAATAATCACATTCATTACTGTTTTATGGAATGAGAGAAATATTGCCTTGTGCATATTTTATTAATTTTAACCCTAAAAATAAGGTATATTAAAACAGACCGTACCATGGGTCAAGTAGGGTAGCCAACAATAGACGGTATAACTTTTGAACTAAAACTAGATCA